GCCTAAGGTGGTGTGACGGATTCCTGCCCTCCTATCTTTCTCATGCACCTGCCCTCCCCAGCCCCTCTTTTACCTCTCTCAAGCTTTCTAGACTCACCTGGCTCGGGACCTCATAGGGTCTCCACCAGTTATTTCTTCTCTCTACCCTAAGCAGTTGCCACAGTTGGCTTCTTCTCATTCTTCCGATACCTGTTTAAATGTCACCTCCTCACAGAAACCTCCTCTGTCTACCTATCTAAAGTAGCTCTCCATTCCTAACCAGTAATTCCCCATTCCACTGGCCTAATAACTATCAAATGCATTGCTGACTTCTTTATGGTTTATGCCCACACAGAAATTGTAAATTCCATGAGGGTAGAAAGCTTTTATGCCTTGATTTTGCTCTGTGTTTTATGACTAGCACAATACTTAATAAATAGTAGGCATTGGCTAAATATTTGTTAAATGAATGAATAAGCAAATGAATGAACGCTAAAATTAAAGGTGAGGTAAAGGGATTTGACGTTTCAAAGTTCCCTTCTGGCTTTAACATTTTAGGAGTCTGTGACTTAAAAGTATAATTTTGTACTTACAGATATGGGTCCAGCTCTTAAAGTAGAGGAGTACTGAGAGGGCAGGGAATGAACGAAGGTGCCAGCATCCAGTGGCAGTCTGGAGGGCCTCCCTGGAGAAAGTGGTAAATACTTCCCTGGAGGAAGCCTTCAACTTACTTAGCAAAACGCATTTACCATCTTACAAAAAGTTTCACCCTAATCTTCATTTCAATTGCCAACTACTTTTCTACATTTAAAATGTGATTGTGGTGATAAAAACTTGATGAGCACACTTTTCAGGAACAATAAGCTTCCAGACTGCCTGTTCCTTAAATGCCCTTGGGTATGGGTGTATGCTGATTTCCATATTTAATTTAGCTCAAGTAAAGAACGTGAAGAATTTGCCCGGAGGCATTGACCCCTAGGCCGGCTCCATATCTGAAGGAAGGATCTGTTCCACACCTCAGAGAAGACCCACTTAGGACAGGAAGTGAGTCATCCGTGTTCTGCAGAAGACCTATCCCAGGTTGCACTGTACTAAATGTGAAGCAGATCAAACTGTAACGAAATCATGACGTGTTTGTTCCCTCCCATGCTATGGGACATTTCAGAACTTTGGTATTTTGCCCTGAAACTTTCAGAGCTGGAGAGGTCTTCAAAAATCACCTGTCTGACCCTCTTGCTTGTGGAGGGGAAACTGAGGCCCAGAGAAGACTAGTGCCTTGTCCAAGCTCACCAGCATATGTGGAGCAGAGCCAGTATGAGATCCTTGTCCTGAATCCCAGTCAAATGTCCTGTAGAAACATATATAATACCTGCAAGCTGATTTTTTAAAAATAAAATCTGTTGTATTCTTTCGTGTAATCTTTATAGATAAACTGATGACCTATTTACTGACTTTTTATGATTGGAAAAAAAAAAGTTTTAGCAAGTAATCTCTAGTAATCTCAGGGTCCTAGGATACTTGAAAGGCATAGACTTAAAATGCTAAAAGAAATCATTACATAATGAAATATATAAGACACTATGCCAACTTGTAACAAGCGGAGGTAGATGTTCATTTAACTGCTAGTAAAGAGCTATTTACTCTTTTAAAAGTCATTTTTAAAACAACCAAAAGAACTGATTCTTCTCATTTTAAAATCTGTAGTTAAGATTTAGAGATGTTCACATGTGATTTTCACCAGCTTAAAGTTTGTTTGAGATGGGAAAGCCACTGAAGGAAGCTATTAAACTGTTATACATGAAGTGTTGGAGACTGGTGAGGAACTATTAACTTAAAAAAAGAAAGAAAGGAGTGTATAGGAGATTTTTCTTCTGTCAAATGATCATCTGGAGCTTAGAGAGTAACAGTGTTTCAAGACACAAATACATTTAAACGTCATGGTGCATGACAGGCAAACAGGCATCATTTGCCCAATTCCTTTACATCTAGTCTGAAAAAATGCAACAAGGTCTCTCAAATTGTAGAAGAATTAGAAACAATACCTCACTCCTCACAGCTCCCTCATTCCCCCTCCTGGATCTGTGTTCTTCACAGGTCCCTGGCGTCAGAGAGAGAGCTCTGAGCCCTTCTGCAGAGTCCATCCAGCTCTGGAAACTTAGACTAGGAGTCCTCAAACTTGGAGTGTCTACGAGTCACCTGAGAGTACTTGCTAAAATCCAGATTCTTGAACCCTCACCCAGAGCATCTAAGTTCATAATTCTGGCATAGCTTCTAAAAAGCAGCACTGTAACAAGCACTCCCAGCTCATCCTGATGCAACTAGATGGTGGAACAAATGTACCCAAACCCTGCCAGCCTTAAATAAATCTTCCTTTTCATCTCTGGGCCTCAATTTCCCTGTTGGTAAAAGGAAAACACAGGACCCGGATCATCTCTGAGGTTTCTTTCTCATTCAGGCAACGGAGATTTTTATGATTTGGGAACTGACAGAGTCAGTCCCCGTCTTGCCTCTGGGTTGCCTTAGTAGCCCAAACGGGTCATGTGCTTACAGAAGCATGTAACTCAAATACAGGCACTTGCTCCCATGGAGTTCGATGTGCACGGTGGAGGGGCTCAGGGCTTCCCAGCTGGTTGCTCCTCACTGCACACCATCCGCAGTGCGCTGTCTGCCCCTCGCCCCCCTCTGCACCACGCGGTGTTCACAGCTGCAGGCACTCGGGTGGTTCTCCTTCAACCTCCATCTGTCTGCAGCAGGGATGTCTAGGGGTTGCGGGCTCCCTACCCTTGTTCTTGCCTCAGATCTACAGCCTATCACACCCACTCCCTCGAGCCCATTTGGAATGATGTTCCAAATTAATCAAGTTGAATTGCACATTAAAAAAACAAAACATGAAAAGAGAGTGAGCTCCTTAAAGATTAGAGACTCAAGACAGAGGAGATTTATTTTCCTTTCTTAAGATATTCTAATGATTACATAAAGCAATTATACAATTCCTCCTTAACATTTGTAGGTGTTAAAATTGGAGAGTCAACTGTTCTAGCCTGGCCCATGAAGGGGCCTGGAGCTGGTTCCAGCCTCTGGCTCCCTAGGTTCCTGGCTCTTCTGGTTCCTTTCAATGCCCTAAAGCCTTGACTTGCCCTGACCAGGCTTGTCCCCCTTGTAATCACCCACCTTCCCCTGTTGGGCTCACGTGTGCTCACCAGGCTCTCCCTAAGGTCAAAGACTTTCATAAATGCCTAACTGCTTCTGTGTCTTGACTCTGGACCTTTCCTTTGACAGCCCCTTGTGCTCTGCATTTTAAGCCCTAGCAAGTTACTCAACTTTGTTTCTTCATCTTCTTCCAATAATTATACTTCCATATCCTTTGTTGAGTATAGAGGGTAAAACTGACCAGAGCACAAAACAGACAGCAGCAGAAAGAGAGGATTTACAGGGGAAAAAACACAAATTGCCAAGCACTCTCAATTCTCCAAGTGTAGGGAGGTGGTGATCACTGGCTTAGAGAACCTTGTCAAGTCGGTTCAGATCTCACTGGCTGAGAACATATGCTAGCCCTCCAATCCCAGATGGAGCTAGTTACCATACAGCATGATATATGATATGTTTCAAGGAAAAAAAGTCATAGAAATTAAGATTATTATGAATCAGTGCCGTTAAGTGGGGTATGCTAGAGACTAACTTCCCTTTACATTCTTTAAGATGCAAAGAGCTACTAGTCAGCAAGAGATATCCAGTGTTCCCTGAGCTGATATAATTTCAGACAAAGGCAAAGAAGCTTGACATGTTCATTTGTTTGTACAGCTTTAATGTAAACAAATGGACTACTTCTGTTAACCTTTTTGAAGCTCTAAAACTATTTTGAAAATATGCCCTGATGGTTCTGCTATGAGCATTTAGTCTCCTTCTGCTGGAAACAGTGCCCTCTTTTTCTTTAGGTGTTAATACCACCCTGCTCTGCCACCCCCAGTCCCTGGACCTCAACCAGCTTCAGGGTCAGGCATGTGACCAAAGTCAACCAGAGTATTCTTCTCCTTTGGCTATAAGGACTGTTAGTTAATAATGACCTTTGAGAGATGACCCTAGCACTCTTTAAAAGTTAGAGAAAACATGATTTTTCACTTTTCCTGGGGTTGTTGCCCGCCATATTGCCACCAGGAGACGTAGGCCTGAGCACAGAACTGACACAGAAGGAAGCAAGGACGAGGGATGGCGAGCAGACGCATGCTGACAACAGCCCTAGCACCTAGCCTGCCGAGCCAGAAGCCAACTTTGTCCCCAGTAATACTCCCTTTCCCCACCCACTTTTTTTCTTTTTTGCTGAATTCAATTTCAGTTGGGCTTTTTCCACTTACAAGTAATTTTATTAATATCTAATCCCCTCCTCACCTCATTATTACCTAAACAGATATTTGGCCTAAGAATCATTAACCCAGCACCAAAGAGATCATAGAAATGTATTTGTTAGATCTCTACAATCTAAATCCATATCTTGTTAAAATCTCAATTCTAAATTCCCCAAGTCACTGATTCATATTTATTGAGCACCTGCTAAACACAAAACCCTGTCCAGGACCTATGAGCCAGAATGCTCTGCCTGCCTCCACTGTCCTCCTAGACTGTGAAGGAAACTGAGACGAGGACACGGTTAATTATAAGTCCACACAGAAAGAGGTAAGGGCCATCAGAGGGCTGCAGGGAGAGTGCCATGAGAGTCCAGACAGACTCTCCTGGATGAGACGCTGAGAAGGCTTCACACAGGCCGGTTCACTAGAGTTGGGCCTTGATGGCCTGAGTGAGTCACAGCTGAGTACAACAACACTCTGCCTCCTGGTGCAGTATTCAGCTGCTTAAGCACAATAGGGGGTAACGCTGACAGGCCAGGCTCTGGAGGAGCAGGACAGCTGTGTTTGTTCCCAGGCCTTGCAAATGGATATGTGGAGTCTCATGTGAAGACTGGGATCAGGCCACCCAAAGATGCACTGGGGCATCATAAGACCAGGGCTACCTGCCTGTGAACTCACCTTAGAGCAGCCGGGAGTCATGACACATTCATAGACCGTCACAGAGTCACAGCACATCAAAGCTCGCAGGGGCTTTGGGGATTAATCAGCCTGGCTATTTGACACACAAGGGCCTAGAGGCCTGAATAGAAGAATGATTTATCCAAGGTCACTCCCGCAGTGTCATTCCCAGGGTCCTTGGCTCCAGGCCCCCCTGAGCCTGGCACTGAAATGAGATACAATCATTAGTTCGTTCAATTTCATCCCAGCAGGAATGAGAAGATTCTGGAATTATATTTTAATAGATGCTGTCTTTTATCTATTAATAGATAACTTCCTGTGGCTTGTCTTGCTTCAGCATCTCCCTCTATTTTAAGTTGGGAATGAGCCTCTCTTGGGGCTGAGCCATGCAGGCCTGGAGGACTTTCACTGGCTTTTTAGCAACAACCAGCAGATGCTCTAAGAAAGGCCTCACTGGGGATGCTGCCCTGAGCTTCCTGTGGGCCCCTGGTGACATGGGGGTGCTGGGGTGTGATGGCAGTGTGGGGACCCATTGCTTGCCAAGCCGCTCCTCCAGAGTCTCTGTGATATGATAAATGGAGAAATAATGATTCCACATACACAGAGGATGGCAGGGCACACCTGGGTTGGAAGCCTTTTCCCAAAGTAGGTGAAGGGTCCTAGAGTAGGGTGAAGTGGGAGTCACCCTCTACTGTTATTATTTGCTAATAATCTTCTCTGTCCCTTGTGCAGTTTTTACCATTCACAGCCATGTGAGTTCCTCAACAACCTTGTGGAGCAGGCAAGACAGGGTTTCATGAACACCTGTCTCCCAGAGGAAGTAACTGAGGTGCACAGACAGGAAGCAACCTGTCCCCTGTCCACCATCTAAGAAGGGGCAGAACTCAGGCAGGCAGAGCCCAGCCTGTCTCCCTGGTGGACAGAACTCACTTCACAACATCTAAGGGGTCTGTCTTGCCCCACTACCAGTCCTGGACCACCACTGTTGCTGACAAAGGATGAGAAGCCAGGGCCTTTGTGTGAGTGACAAGTGCACTGAGGCAAGAGCTCCTTTGTCCTGAGCCGTACCTGACACTCGCAGCAAAGCTGCTCCTTTTATAACCCTTGGATATGAGTAGCAGGTCTGATTAGAGGCAGTGTTATGTAGTGGAAATAAGCAATAGACATTGGATGGCAAACAAATGAATGCATTTGCTCACCCGTTAATTCAGTACATGAACTTTGATCATCCCTCAGCTGTGGTGCCGAAGGTGGACGTGAAACCACATCTAAATTGTGGTCTCTGCTTCAGAGGAGCGCATATTCCAATAGGAGAAGGCAGAGAGCGGTGCAGACAAATAAATGGCCACACACCTTGACAAGAGCCAGAGTGCAGGTAGGTACGATGTGTCCTGGAAGCCCAGGGGAGGATGTGACTAAGCCTCCTTCCCATGTGATCCAGCCATGAGCTTCTCAAGGGTAGCGGGGGCTGGCGCAGCGCATCTTTCCCTCTCTATCAAACGTAACACTAGGAGCTTTTGAGATCACCAGTTAGTGCTTGCTGAATAAATGTTCCTGGAGGAGTCATGAAAGGGTGTGCACTGCAGGTGACCTGGGCTACATGACTGAGTTTGCAAAGACCCCAACCTCTCTGTCCTGGGACAAGGACCCCAGCCATCAAAGCCTTCCCTTGGATCTGTGCTCAGAATCAGCGGGTCCTGAGGCCTCTCTCACCTGCCAGTTATCTTAAAAGGCAGAGTAAGATCAAAGCTCAGGGAACATCACAGTCACAGTAACCCTGCTCATCCATCAGGGCTTGAACACCTCACCTTGAACAAGGGAGATAAGAGAATAAAATAACGCCTGACACGGCCTTATCGCCTGATAATACAACTTCAGTTTTTCCATTAAAATAACTGAGAGACAGAGTCCTATACTTGAGCTGATAAAGAGATCACAGGAAACAAAGCTATTAATTTTTATCTCTGCTGTGCAATAGCACATTTGAGTGAATACAATTTATCCAAGAGAGAAAATACTTCTCTGGCAATGGAAGTTGGATATAAATTTTTTTCCCCTCCTAACTTTTATTCTCATGACTTGTTCACCGCTAAACTCTAGTAATTTTTAGTCACAGAAATGTTAAACCCAGTGGATCTGGTTATGCTATCGCCATTGCATCATGTTATAAATGATTCTTTCTCTCCTTACTCTAACCCCATCCTTGGAGGATCTGGTACAGATATTTAAAATACAAGTTAAGGGACTCAAGAAAGTTAATTGCCTTTCCATTCCTCAATATCGTTATCTTTAAAAGGAGGAATTGGACAGCTTGTGTACATGATTGCTTCCAGCTTTAATACTCCAGGATCCCAAGACTGAAAGGGACACAGATTGGTTCAGTTTTGATGACACAGGCAGTCTTTCTAAGCATGAGAGTTGCCAGATAACAGTAGAAGCAGGTAACCACCATTCCTGCTCTAGGCCTCATGCTTCGGCGACCCACCTCTGGCCTTCCCCATTGGGTGAGAAGTCCATGGGGCCACGTGAACAGGTGTGCTTAGAACCCACCTCCTCTTTCCAGACCAAGATCTGGGTACCTGAGACCTTAAAATTCTCTTTGTAAATGGTTCAAAGCTTGCTTTCAGGCCCTGAACCATTTCTCCCCAGGTTTCTCATCCCCAGAGCAGATTACAGCCGCGGGGTTCACCCACAAGACCAGGTGTGGTCCAGAGGTAGGGAATGGGATCACTCTTTCCAGCCATCAGGAATGCTTGGGTGGAAAAATATAAGAAGCATTCATCTTTGGGGTGGCCACACCCATCAATGCAAGGCCACCAATGGTGTGTCCAGAGCCAGGGAAGGGAAGTGAGTAGGGTATGACTGACTGGTAGCTCACATTTGTACTTGTACTTGGTTTGCAAATGGTGGGGTGAGAACAGTGCCATAGAACCACAGGCCGGGAAGGGATTCTTACTGGAGAAGGTAGCGGGAGGAACAGGCAGTCAGTAAGTGGCCATGCCACGGTGATGCTCTTCCTAAGAGAAGCTGTCTAATTGGGCAGTTCAAAGATCCCACAGGCAGACCCAGGCTCTTTTACAAGCTTGCCTTAGGCCTTACTTCTGCAAGAATTTAATTTGTGTTTCAAATGTGAGTCTTACCACCTCCTATGCTTGCTTCAGAATATGGCTATCTCAGAATTGGTTTCCTTATAATTGATATCCTACTTATTTCTTAAAAAACAAACAAATAAAAAGCAAGTAAGCAAACAAACAAACAAACAGTAAAACCTGGAGAAGACTTACAGTAAAATCACCACATGGTTAAATACACAGACCTGCCACTATATGAAGGAAAGGCAATGATCATGCCAGGAACCTCAGATGTACTTGCTAGTAAATATAAAAATAAAATAGCACTGAGCCTCCTGACTGCCATGGAAAAACAGAAAAGGGATGGGTTATCTGTCTTTAATTATGTGATCAAAAGTACCACAATCCATTCTTCAGAGGAGAGAGATAACCTCTGGGTAAAAAAATTTGAGGAAGAATTTTATCACCTGCATCCTTTTATAAGGGGCAGTGAGTAAATAAAGGACCAGATCTTCAGCACTGTTTTTTCAGACAACACGAAAGCATTCTCCATTCAACTATTTATTATATTGACATTCAATTTTAGTGTGCTACTTTATAATGAATTTATGGTTATCTTAATATAAAATTTATTTCTCCTAAATCTTCTCAAAATTGATATCTAAGAAATACTATGGCTTTGGGTATGCCCTAGCACTATCAAGTATTTGTAAAAATATAGTTTAGATAGTCTCTTATTTGTTCCTTATAACAAGCTGATGGAGCAGGTATTGCCCGTTTTCATGAATGGGAAATGGAAGAATAGCAAGAGAGTAAGTTTTCTAGTAGCACATGGGACCACGATAGGCAATATTTGAATGAAACCCAGATCTACTAACTACAAGGCCAGACTTTTTTCCTGGGTTTTATGATATTAATGTTATCATTTAAAAAACCATCAAGGAGTGAGTTGGATGATCCAACTACCATTGCTGGAGTTGCACTACTGAGGGATGATACCCACAGAGCCTGTGATGACCAGATAAGTTAAGCCCACTGCGCCAGGCTTCCAATGTCCTGGCACATTCCACCCTGACATGCATAAATGTCTCTTAATTTATTGCCAGATTCCTCCATAGGATGAGTTGCCCATGCTCAAAGTTTTCTTTATAATCAGTGTATACATCATCAACTATATGAGCCTGGGCCAAGAAAAAAAGCCCTGGGTCTCCTTTCCCAGGGCTGCCCAGCAAATGTCTCAAGCCATTATAACAGTGATGGCAAATCTTCTCTTCTCCATGAGGTAGATCATCGGTCCTGAAAACCGTGTGGGGCAATGAGCAGGCTGCAATGCTAGAAGTCTGGTGACCTGGGTCCTGGTCCTGACTCTGCCACTGGATCGTTGTGGGAAAAGCACCTAACCCATTGGTGCAGAGTGTGCCAGGGAATGAAAATGAGAGTTGCCCCCATCCACCCTCCAAAGAAGATGGTGAGAAACAGTGAGATAGTGTCTGGGAAGCCCTTTGAGCTCCTCAGAAGCAAGAGGCTACCTAAAAACAAGGTGTTATTATTTCCAATCCCACATCAGCCAAGGACAGTTAAGGTTCCTATAGAAACCTACTCACTGCCCCCATATAAGAGGACTGGCCTATCCTTCAGCTTCTCATCCAGTTGAGTTTCCCAAGCTTTGGAGGATTTTGTGGGAGTTCATCATATGGTTAAAGATGATGAGTGTTGTGAACTGAAGACTTAGATCTTAAAATTACAGAACCTCGGAGCGGAAAGGGATACCAGCAATCTTCCCTGTGCTCTTTATACAGAGAAGAGGAAGCTGAGCTCAGAAAGTTTCATAAATAACTCACATTCCTCCAAGGCCTCCTAGGCATTAGATAGGTGCTGGGATAAGAAGGTGACTAGGATCTAGCCTCTGACTTTACATAACTCCCGCCTGAGAGGGGAAACAGGCACATTCACAATCTGTGTACAGTGTGATAAGGGCATTATTGCAAAGTGCCATCAGGACTGTGGCAAAGGTGGAGCTTAAGCTGGCCTGTAGCTCTATGTCCTTGGTAAATCACTTTGGCACTTTGAGACTCAGAAAAATGGAAACTCAAGAAATGACATCAACCTCTATCATTTTTATCATGTTTGACAGCTCCCTGCTAATTTTATAATCACTGGCTGATTTGATTCTTATAAGAAAGCAGGGAAGGAAACATTATCACTATCTCTCCACACTATAGAGGCAAAATCTAAGGATTTGAGAGATGAAGTTCCAGGCACATGGCCCTGACCTGACTCCCAGACAGGTCATCCGGAGAAAAGCTAGGGAAGTGACTGGACTCTGGTCTGTAATAGCCTGCTCTCTGTAGCTGAACGTCGGGGATCTCTAAGTTCCCCTAGCATTCAGGTTTCACAGATCTATAAATTTATCAAAGGGTTGACAGCCACCTGGTACTAAGTAGGCTCTTGATAAGTATTTGTTACAATTAGAAAACTCTGTAAGGAACCAGCATTTTTTTCCCCTTTAAACTCAGCTACAAATAAAACATTTCTTAATTCTAATGACTTAATATGTTTTAATAAGACCTTGCATTATTCTATATTTTAATATTTTAACTTATATAAATACCATGTGAATACATTCTTACTGTGAAAGAGTCAAATATCTAAAAGCAAGCATCCTCTTGACTGCCCCACCTCCAACTGCAATCTCTGCCCTATCATCCTTCTCCCTACCCCACTTCCACTGTTATTAGTTTGGTATTATTTTACACTTTTACTCTAGGCAATGAATGTATGCGTATATAGAAATACTGCAGCTTATTTCTTAGGTAAATGGCCTAATGCTATATATATTGTTCTATAATTTTTTTTAACATAACATGTGGTAGAGACCTAGCCATGCTAGCTGCCTTAGACATACCACATCCCCTAAGTGGGCCTGGTATTCCACAGTGTCACTAGCCCACAGGTAAGACATTCCCTAGGAACAGAATTTCAGGTGGCCTCTATTGTTTTCTCCATTACAAACGATGCTGCAATGACCATTCTTGCATGTGCCTTCTTAGAAACAAATTCCCAAAGTGCCATTATTTTTTAATCTGAAAGATTAAAAAAATACAATTTTTTGGACAAAATATAAAATACAAAATTTGGACAAATTGCCAAATTTGACTCTAAAGACCTTGTACCGATTTGCAGACCCACTAACAGAGTATGAGAGGATCTGTTTTCTTATACTCTTGCTAAAACTTGGTATCACCAACCCTTTCAAAAATTTTTTTGCCAGTCTGATTGTAAGATGAATATGAATTGTTCATGTTAATCTGCATTTTGAATACAATGTTTCCCTTTAAAATGGGAAATGATAAAAAAAGTGTGGACACTTCTCCAGAGAGGCCATGGCACGTTGGAAAGATAGAGGTCTCTGAGGTGAAGGGCCTGGGTTCCCACTTATGAGCTGAGTGGCCTCCAGCAAGGTGCTCACCTCTCTCAGCCTGTCTGTGGATGAAGACAGGCAGTGCTCTGCCTTCATGCAAACTGTGAAGTAGTGCTTCATAAACGGTTGTCTCTGTGAAGGTATTAGCTCTTACCTGACTTCTAGAAGATGATAAACTGATGTTCAGTGAGGGAGGTTACATGTTACATACTCCCACGCAGTAGGCAATTTCCTCATGTAGCTATAATGGGCCATGTCTTATGTTGGAATATGTTAGTCATACTTCCTTAGCAATCTGAGGTATCAGGCCTTCAAGTTTTGTTCATTTGCTTGTTTTTGTCTTTGTTTAGTTAGCTCATTTTTTTACTTACCAGAAGCACCTGCAGAACAAGTGATGGTTTAGCTCATCAGCAGTGGGATGCCATGTTACCTAAACCCGGTACCACCACTTCACCCAGAGAAAGGTTCCATTCTCTTCTGAGTTGATTTCTACTGTCACAATTGCACTACAGTATTTGCTAGAGAGCAAAGCACTCCCTACTTTTGGGAGATGGAAGATTTGATACACCCAATACACAATGAAATTTTCTATCAGACATAGAAGCACAGGAAAGGTGCAGAGGACATTTTTCACAGAGCCCCTTTTCCCCTTTCTAGTAGCACCCCACTCTTGGTCCATAGGGCCTGAGTGGGACCCATCCCCAGCCCTGGGGTGGAGGACATGGCCCAGGCCTGCGTCAGTCAGTACAGTGCAGTCTCCAGCCCCAGTGATTGGCTCGCAGCTCACAAAGAGAGCATGTGACATGAGTAGCCAATCAGAGTGAACCTTGAGATTTTTGCAGAAAAGCCTGGGACAGAGAACTTTCCTACTTTGCTATTGTACATTATCCTGAAAGGATGTAGCCTGGAAGCTTCTGGGGGCCTTCTTGGGGGAAAAGAGAGCCTCAGAATGGAGGTAATTTGAAAGGATGAGGAGCTAAGAGATGGAGAGAGCAAACCCAGATCCCCAGAACAGTGCATAGCCAGATGTCCCCCTGCTGTTTCAGTGACACAAGCTAATATAGTGGCTCTCTGCTCCCCTACCACACACACTGTGTCTGGCTGAGTCTGACCTTCTGTCACTTGTAATAACTGACACTAGTGGAACCGCATGTACATAAGCACGTCCATGCTCGATGATTCTTTCCACACACAGAAGCCAGCATCGTGCTATGGCAGAAGCCCAGGCAAGAGAAGTAGGTCTGTCACTGGCTTTGTCTTTTTGTGACTTGATCTCTGCAGCTGTAATGTGGGAGAGTTGGACAAGTAAACTCAAGACACCTTGCTGCTCTGACACTCTCTGAATCAGTCAACTGCCACTCTTAATGCTCCTGTGACCACTGAGATTGCCACATGCTGCCTCTTTGAGGCATTTCACTCATTACGGTATAGGAGGGTTTAAGTGGCCACCAACGGGGGGACCTGAAGAACAGAAAACAATTAGGTTTTCTGTATCTCCACCAGAATTGGCCTCAGAAGGGAGTCAGGCTTTGCAAAGACACAGAACATTTTTCCTGCTGGGCTCCTTGGGAAAAGGTCTCAGCATTATGGAGGATGTCCCTTTCTATTCACGGCTCGCCAGTGAGAGCAGCCAAGAAGGAGAAGAGGTCACATGGCCAGGCCTGCTGCCAGCACAGAATGTTCTGTACAGCTGACGGCTGCGCAGGGATGAGGACTGCCCTGTCCCCTGCTGAGGTTTCTTCTGTGAAAGGTGGGCCTCAGGGTTGCCAAAACGTATTCTGCAACAGCGTCTAGAAAGGTCTCTATAAGCAGGATTCTGAATCGTCGTTAATCAGTCACCTCTTCTGTACGAAGTATTATGCCAAGAATTTTCAAATACATTGTTATTCTAAACCTTGCAACAACCTTACTGTCCCCTAATATCACCTTCAGTTTATACTTGTAGAAACTACAGCTCAATGAGGTGATATTGCAGTAACTTGCCCAGGGTCACACAGCAACAGAGCCACAGTTAATTTCACTAAATGAGGACAACCTAAGGGCTTGCAAAGCAATTTGGCCCCTCCCCTTCCCCCTTATGCTATGAATAGGAGCCACAAACAACAGGGATCATGAGCACATGCTCCAGTCACTTCTCCCAGCTGCTTTCATAAACACTCTAAGACAGAGTTTTCTAGCCATTTAGGTGCATGTCACTTTCTTGACCAGCTTGGAGGTCTTGGACATCGGGGCCCTGTGTGATCCAACAGTGTATGTCCCATAGTTCCTTGCACAAAATAGGAATGTGAAAAGCAGTCCCTCTCTCTGGCCAGCCAATAACCCTAGAAGAGGACTGGACCCAACCAAAAGGCAGAAACTGAATGCACTTAGGGTGCAAGCAAGCTGTGGAAGCACTAGGAATTCCAAGCCAGGTAGGAGACAATGGGTAGGGGTAGGAAATTAAGGGAAAAAAATGTACAGGACCCACTTAATTCATTCAAGTCAAAAAGTTTCAGAAAGAATGCACAGCCAAAATAAACCCAAGCAGACTGAACTGGGCTTCAGAGCCAACAGTGTATAGCTCCACTATGACTTTATCCCTGACCATTCAGTCTGGTATGGAATTGATAAGCATTATTCCTGCACTATAGCTCCAGTCTTACACATGGAAACTATAGCTGAGAGTCTCCATATGTGGTTCTCATTAACACAGCATGAAGCACATGGTAGACATTTAATAAATGTTTGCCAGATTAACATTAAAAATTAAACTAATGTTTTTCCAAACTGCTATAAGCCTCACTAAGACAATATCTGTGAAAGAAGCTACAGACTCAGTGCCCACTGCTCTGATAACCAGAATACTGATTATATTATTGTTTGGGTGGAGAACCTCCCGTACCTCTCTATATATGTATAATACCTAGAAAAGTTCTTTAGGACAATTTAGTGGCCCCCATGCTCTACAATGAGAGCTATATACACTCCATCATTTTGTAGAATATCCAACTAATCATTCATTCATTCAACAGTTATGGCATTGAAACCATATGGTGGGCAAAACAGACGTAGTGCCAGCAGTCATGAAACTTATAATCTAGTAATCAGCTAATCACATAAATAAATGCCAAGCCACAGTACAGTAAGTGCTCAGAGGTATATAGTGCTTTAAGAAGCCTGGCCTGGGAGGATTAGAGAGGCAATGCATGAGTAGGCCAAAGAGGGACAGAACAACAGACACAAGCCCCCCATGGAAGAAGTGTGGCAAAGAAGAGGACGTGTGAGGCCAGTGTCACCATGCAGAGGAGGGAGCAAGTCTGTGGGTTAAGATACTGACGGAGGTCAGACCAGTCCAGGTTTGTAAGCTTTGGTAGAAACTCTCATCTTTATCCTAAGAGTAATGCGAGTCATCTGCTCTGCTAGAGAAAAAGAATAGCAGGACGATGCTGCAATTCTCCCTTGCTCTAATCCGCACCTCTGCTCAGGAAGTTACTTTGTTGCCCACCTTCTCTCTATGGGAGACGGAGCAAGGGAAAGTGTTTTAAGCTCTTCAGATGGAAAAAGTTATTTTCTTCTTAGAGTCTGAGCTGCAAATGGTATGTCTCTTTTCAGGGAACCATGACCTTGTCACATGAACACGGCTTGATAACCCTCTGGCAGCAGAAGTTCAGGGCCCTACCCTTAGTTACTTCATGTCCAATACACATAAACCAGCAGTTTCTTGTCTTTTGGACTACGTAGACCATATTTTAACCTGAAAAATCTCATAGATCTGCCACTTAATACTACTGATACTTTAGAAAGATACAATACCGTCTATATTAGCACCAAAAAAAAAAAAAAGAGAGAGAAACATTTAGGTATAATTCTAATAAAACCTGTACACAATCTATGTGAGGAAAACTGCAGAACTCTGATGAAAGAAATCAAAGAAGAGGTAAATAAATTGAGAAATATTCCATGTACATGGATAAGAAAACTCAATATTGTTAATATGTCAGTTCTTCAAAACTTAATCTATAGATTTAACACAATCCCAATCAAATCCCAGAAAGTTACCTTGCATATATCAATAAACATTCTGGCTGGGCGTGGTGGCTCACACCTGTAATCCTAGCACTCTGGGAGGCTGAAGCAGAAGGACTGTTTGAGCTCAGGAGTTTGAGATCAGCCTAAGCAAGAGTGAGACCCTGTCTCTACTAAAACAAAAATAGAAAGAAATTAGCTGGACAACTAAAAAATATATACATATATATAAAAAAAATTAGCGGGCATGGTGGTGCATGCCTGTAGTCCCAGCTACTAGGAGGCTGAGACAGGAGAATTGCTTGAGTCCAGGAGTTTGAGGTTGCTGTGAGCTGGGCTGATGCCACAGCACTATAGCCTGGGCAACAAAATGAGACTCTGTCTCAAAAATAAAATAAAATAAAATAAAATAAAATAAAAAAATAAAAAATAAAATAAAATAAACTGATTCTAAAGTTTATATGGAAAGACAAAAGACCAAGAATAGTGACTGCAATATTAAAGAAGAACATAATCAGAGGATTGACACTAAAACTTACTATAAAGGCATAGTAATCAAGACAATATGGGACTGGCAAAAAATAGACAAAAATTAATCAATGGAGCAGAATATAAAGCCCCAAAATAAACCCACACAAATATAGTCAACTTATCTTTGACAACAGAGCAAAGACGATGGAGAAAGGATAGTCTTTTTAACAAATGATACTGGAAAAACTGGACATCCACATATAAAAAAGTGAATCTAGACACCTTTTAAAGAAAATAAAACAACAAAAAAAGACCGTTAAAATGGGTTATAGATCAAATGTAAAATACAAATCTATAAAACTCTTAGAAGATAACATAGTAGAAAATCCAATGACCTTGGTTTTGAGGATTATATCTTGGAAATAATGCCAAAAGTGCAATTCATGGAAGAAAGAACTAAAAATTATACTTCATTAAAACCAAAAACTTCTACTCTCTGTGCAACACTGTTGAAAAAATGAAAAGTTGTATTGGAAGAAAATGTTTGCAAAACACATATCTGATGAAGGACTATTATCCAAAATATAAAAAGAACTTTTAAAACTCAACAATAAGAAAGCAAACAACCCAATTAAAAAATGGGCAGAAGATGTGGACACCTCACCATAGAAGACATACAGATGGCAAATAAGTTTATACAAGATGCGATCGATACATCATGTCATTAGGGAATTGCAAATTAAAACAACAATGACATATCACCACATATCTATTACGATACAAAAAACCCAAAATACTGACAACACCAAATGCTAATGAGGATGTGGAGCAATGGGAACTCTCATTTTTTGTTATTGAAAGTGCAAAATGAAA